CCTTTTTTTTTTTTTTTTTTTAAAAAGAGTGCTTTTGATGTTTCATGAGCAAAACCTGTGCTATTGTAACAGCCGGGAGCCCGTTTCCGGGAGCAGGACCTCCTGCGGTGTTAGCTCTCGGCTTTGCCCTTGGAGCCGGTGCCTGCAAAGGGTCGCCTTCAGAAAAGGATGGTGCCTCTTGCCCGGCTCATCCCTGTGCTGGAAGCCCCAGGTGGAAGCGGAGCTGAAAGATTTACCCCTCTCCCACCCTGCTCTGCCTTGCCATAAACAAGTGGTTTATGAGCCTAAAAAGAAAAAAGCAAGCAAGGTGCCTGCTTTGCCTCTTCCACAGGGTTTTCGGGTTGTGCCCGTGCTGGGATTTCTGATCCCCATGAAGATACGTGTTTTCCTGCCCGTCAATAAGACCTTGTAGTATTTTTGCTCTTTTTGGCTCTTTTCTCCTTGGAGAGCTCGCGGTGCTGAGCCTGTGTCCCTGTGGTGCTGCTGGCCTTTCGGGGACACGGCGGGGATCCCTCCTGCGACAATGCTGGCAGCTGCCAAAGGCGTTTTTGGATTTTTTTTCTTTTTCCACCCACAGAGAGCTGCAAAGTGAGACCCTGAGGCATTCACATAGCACCACGGCGTCTCTCAAATTTTTTTTTCCGAGCTATATTTTTCATTTTGCAGTGTTCAAACACCATCTGCTGTTTTGTGTGGTGGCACTCTCGCAGAAGGGGGTCATTTTTAAGTGTAAATTGCTCTTTCAAGTCAGTATCGACAGTATCGAGGCCTGAAATGCTTGGGGAAGTCCTGCAGCAAATGCAGAAATCACCACTGCCTTGTTCTCTAACGGCCATCCAGCTCCTGATGGCATGGCTGCTCCGTTTCTTACCTTCCCACCAGGAAGACAAGCTCTCACTGTTAGACTCCCATGCCCCCGGAGACAACCAGCAACTGAGGTCCTAGTTGGGCACTTAACTCAAAGCCCTGTTTAATGGGGCTGAAATACAGGATGGGGGGGGGGAAAAAAAAATCCCTCATCACTTTGAATCAAGGCCAGAATTGCATTGCCGAAGCCACTTGGGCCTGTAATGATAAATTGGTAATGTTGCCTGTGGCATATGTAACTTACGGAGGAGCGTGGTTATCTGGAGCTCCGAGGCATCATCTTATAGGCAGTAATGGATGCGCTTGGCCAAAACCAGGGTAACTGGGCAAGCTCCCCCGGTCAATCCCCTGGGCACTCGCAGGGCTTGTTTCAAGGTGAACAAAGCAACAGCAAATACCTGGTGAAGAAAGTTAGCCTGATCTGTAGCGCTTAAACAAATAAGATTAAAATAATTGCTGCAGACGGGTGGCTGCTCTCCCATTTCTTGTTATGGAGTGTCACCAAGATGTAATGACTGCAGCCGCACGGCCCCTTGCTGTTTCAACATTAATTTGGTATCTCATTTCCAGCTATCACCTTATTTATTCTGGAACTTTTAATTTATGTCAGGCCAGGTACGCCAACTGTCCCAATTATGCAGAGGTCAGGGAGCACCTCCTGCAAACAGCATGCAAATCCACGCCGAGCCCCCCGCCAGCCTCTTCCCCAGGAGCTCCTCCTGGCGCCGGCAGGAGGGTTCGGGCTGCTGACGGGGAAGAAGCGCATGCCGCAGGTCCAGGAGCAGATGCAATCCTTGGATGGTGCCTTTCCAGCCTCCAGCAAGGTCTAGGGAAGCAAACAATGCTCTTTTTCCCCTCCTTTCAATTTTTTCTCTCTTTTTTTTTTTCCTGCTTTTCTAGCTTCTTGCTGGCAACACCAGACATTGTACTTTGACGAGTTAATAAACATCTCCCTTGGGAATTAAGGAGCTCCAGCATGCTCAGGTTTGCCATGTTTTAAGCCTGACTAACAAGAGTTTGCAGAGCAAGAGGCTTTCCCCCCCACCCTCAAAAGCTCAATATCTCACATTTCAGGCTTCTCCCCGAAGCTGCTTCACTTCTGTGGCTTGCAGCTCTAAAAATTGTAACGCTTCAGTGCTATCTCCCAGGTGCTAACCTATCACTCGCACCTCTCCTAGTCTTTTCTCTCCGCCCATGCTCCCCTTCCCAACCCCAAGTCTGCTTTTTCGGTGCCATTTTTTTGAGTGGTCCCTGCTCTCCGGGGAATAGAGAAGCCACAAGGGGAAGGTCACTGCATGGTCTAGGGCAAGGCACTGTTGAGGGGCCGAGCAGAAGGGACGCCCCGTGACTGCCCCAAGCCCGGTTGCTTCCTCCGTGTCTTTCGGCAGGAAGAAATGAGATCCTGGACGTGGTGCAAGGCAGGCCCGCGAAGACCACGTGCAGTCCGGGGAGCTAAATTGCTGGTTTGAACTTGTAGAACATTATTGCTCGTGAATTATGGATAGTTATTGCACCTTATGGACAATAAATTATTGAGCTGACACGCTGGATGGAGAACAAGAAGATGGTGCTCTGTTTACGACAGGCGGCTCTGATGCGTGGTGCCTTTGGGGGGGGGGGGGGGGGCTCTGCTGTGAGCAAGATCATCTCCGCCTGGAGCGGCAGGAACAGCAGGTCTCTGCCCACTGCCAGCCACTGAGTCACTCGCGAGGGCAGCAGCAAGCACAGCATCAGGAAGCAGCATCCCAGGGGAATTTTCCCTCTTTTCTGCTTGCGAGGCAGATTCCCGAGTGAGATTCCTGAGTTTCCCCAGCTTTCGACCCTGGAGGCTCACAGCACCTCAATACCGCCGAGGAGCGCTCCAGCCCTACTCCGACATATCACCCATGTTGGGAGGGGGAAGGGTCCTGCTGACCGTGACACGATGGAGTTGGCTTCGGACTGCGATGCCACCACAAATTCCAGCAGGAAAACCATGGGTAAGAGTCTAAGCAATACCAAATGACACGTAGCTCCTTGCTGTGACAGCCCCTGAGCTGACCTTCCTGAGCACGATGTGTTGCAGGTGAGTAAGCTGCAGCAGAAGGAAGCCCAGTGAAGCTGGCCTCAGGGTGGGAGCGGGGCCTCTTCCCATCTTGATAGCGTTGGAGGTTGCCTTTGCTTGCAGAAGGGGGAAAGCTTTGCTTAGTCTTTTTGGTATACATCCGGCTGTGCAATATTTGTGCTGGAGAGGGAAGATAATGCACGCTAACCAATTCTGTAAATGTGAGGGTGCCTTTTAAACACCGGTGTGTACACAGACGCAAGAAAGCGGCCGGCCAAAATGTTAGCAGGAAGGATTTGACGGGGAACCTGGCCATGCTTCACCAGCTCCAGGCTGGGAAAAGGGGCACCACTTTTCACCCATGCGAAAGGAGAGGGCTCTTTCCAGGGAAGCTGGTGCCCGTCTTGGCTGTGAATGGGACTGCGGGGCCATCTCATCGATGCTCCCGTCGTGCGCAATGTTGCTGCTCCCCAACGTTTGCTGCAGCAGCTGCCCCCGGGGCAGCCCGGGGCGGGGGCAGCGGCGCCTCCGGGGCCGCCCGGGGACGGGAGCGCGGAGGTGACCCGTGCTCGGTCAGCTCACCCGGAGCGCGGCCGGCAGCTTTCCGACGCTCCTGCCCTATCTTCCCAGAGCAGCTGCCTGAGCGGCTTGGCAGGGATGGGGATTTGGCATCTCTTTGAGGTGGTGATTAATCACCTCTGGTGTCCGCTGCGGACGATGGGGGACAGCAGGAGCAGCCACCCTTTGCTTTCTGAGTCCGACTATGTTCAGGCTGCAAAGAGGGGATGTGGGATGGTCTGGGGAAAGAGGACTGGCATAGCCAGCTGGATGGAGAAGACTCCTGTCACTGCTGCCCTGCTCCACGTGGAGCCACTTGGACGGCTCCAAGCCTGCAACTGAAACGCACGTGCCTTCGTGCCTCTCTAGGCGTGCGTTACGCAGCCTGCCCTGCACCGGGACAGGGGCATCGTATGCTCCATGCCCTTCTCTGCCTGTCCACAAGGGCCTGCAGCATCGGTCAGGTCCTGTCTGAGGCCAGAGAGCCTCCATAAACCCACCAGAGGATCTGGGGAATGGTTTATCCAGGTGATAAGACATGGGATCTATCAGTCTCGCAGAGAAGTGCACTGGCTCAGCCAGGCCATCTCTCCTCGCCGCCCGGGCAGTGGCGGTGGTGGTCAGCACGTCCGTCGAGACCCTCGGCTGACGTACGGCCTGCGGCTTAGGGGCTCCCTGTGTGGGGGGTGCTCCAGCACGTTTAACAGCCCTTGTCAGACCTGTGCCCCCGGAGTTTGGCTAAATGCTTTCAGGGGCCCATTTAGGCGCTAGGTCTCCATAGCATCCTGTGGCAATGAGTTCCATAATTTAATCATGTGTGGCGGAGAAAAAGGGCTGCCTTTTGTTTGGCCTTAAATCTGCTGCCTGATAACTAGATTTGGACACTCCTAGTTCCTGGGTTGGAAGAAATGGGGAATTATCACTGCCTGTGCACCTGCTCCACATCGCTGCTGGTTTTGTCCTAGCCCCCTGCATGTTTTCTTTCTCCTCGCGCCCATTCATGCCTCCTGGCAATTTCCCATTCCTCGGCCAGCCTGACCTGATATCGCACGAGGGCCTGGACCAGAAAGGGCTCTGATTTGCCTCGCTGTTGTGTTTATCTCCACCTCTCTCATGCTCTCTTCTTTTATAAGTGCGGGAGAGATGCTCTGCAGGCACGGGTGGTGCAGATGCCGACAGACGCCCTCAGGAGCTAACCGTGGCCTTGGCACAAACCCCCAAAGCCTGACCCACCCCCTCTGCTATTTTTAGGCTGAGGGCACTCGCTCAGTCCATGCATGCACGTGCAGACTGATACTTTTTGACCACCCTGGGTGCTGAGTCCCATGTTCCTCCACACAGGCCCAGCCCAACCCCTTGCAATGTGCAGAGCTCGTAACCCAAGTATCCGGATGACCTCTCGGTAATTATGTCATAATGGGAAGCATCACCACGCTCCAGCTGCATGGGTCCTACAAGTACGCCAGTTTGCCACGGAGGGGGTCTCCAAATTACCAATGCTGATGGAGGAGTCATGGCGAAATGGTGAAAAAGTAAGAACCTGAGGACCATGTGAAGCAATTGCAAGGAAGAACCCAAGGAGTTACCGAAATGTGGGACTGCAGTGCACTGGCAGACTGGGGCTACAGAAGGACAACACTGAGCTAGGGATCATCTGAAGAAGGTAGGCTCCTCACACCTGTCTAACGAGGCCTGCCCATCCCAGGGGACTGGCTCCCACCTGCATCCCCCTGTGTGCCAAGAAAGGAAGGGGTGCTTTGAGCAGAGACCAGCTGCCCACCTCAGAGCAAGCTGGTCTGTGTGCAAAGCTCACGGGGTCCCCTGCCTGTTTCCCTCCCTGGAGATGGCCAAAAGGTGCTGAGAGGTAGAAAGAGGGCAGGGGGGAAGATGGAGAGAGCGGGGGGCTGTGGTGGCTGCTCCCACCACCCCTGCTGGCTGCTGGACCGGATTTCCATCATCATCTCTAGCACCGAGAAGGCTCTGGAGTCGGTAGAAAGTGAAGTGTTTTCCCTAATCGAATCACACGCTAGTGTCACAAGTGAAGTCCTGCAAAGCAGAATGAGCTTGGGAGCCAGCGAACCACGAATGCCACCTCTCCCCATCCCCACTGCACAGACTGTGCCTTCCTTCTTGCTCGCTCTCGTCCAGGACCGAGCCGGAGCAGGGGCTTGGAGGTCCCACCTCAGCCCTCCCGCTGGGCTGCAGCATCCTCTCTCTCTGCTTCCTCGGCACCCCACAGCAGTCATGGGCTGAGAGCTGCATCTGGAGGAAAAGCAGGCGTTCCCTCCATGCTCCCATCAGCCGTGAGCCTGCTGAGGAGACATAACACACACTGGGTGTCCACGGGCCCGAGGATTTCAGGAGATGCACCTGGTGCTTCCAAATGTCTTTGGGGATGTTCTGCCCTCAGTTTAATGTACGCTAGTCATCTCTTTGCCAGGAGCGTCTCCCTCCAAGCAGGCACTGGATATGCACTGTGTCTCCCTGAACCAATGGGTCTCTTCCACCCTTAGCTTCCCTGAAGATGCTCCTTCATCTCCTGTGCCTCGCTCGACTTGCTTGTGAGCACCCGCCCACCGGAGCGCAGGTGGTTTTGCTCCTCCCAGCTCTGCGAAGCAGGCAAGTGGTCAGCCTGGAGCTGGGAAGCAGGAGGACGGTGCCTTGCCTCCATCTCTGTGGCCCAAGTCAGAACGGGTGGCAGCTGGGACCATCATCTCCAGTGCGGCATGAGAGATGTCGTATAGCTGGGGAAGGCAGGGTCAGTGCTGAGCGTCTCCCTCTCGGAGGACGCGGGAGTTACTGATGGAGGTGGATGTTTCTGAGGAAGCCCTCCCTTAAGTTTTTGACAGTACATCAAGTACATTGCTGCCTTCAAGCGTCCCCAAGTAGCTGCACAGGGAGCAAAATTAGCAGCCAAGGAATAGGAGTCGCAGGGTGGCTGGGTAATGCCGAGCGGATAGGACAGCCTGGGTCGGCCCGGATGCCCACCGGCCGCAATCTACCTTGCAAAATACTCCTTGTCCAGCACCGCCGGTGAAGCAAGTTTTCCCAGGGCATGAGTCAGTGTAGCCCGGTGGAGGTCAGCGCAGGGATGTCAGCTCTGCCGGAGTGTGATCAAGCCCTCAGGGCACCGGCGTGTCGATCTGTTCAGCAGAGCGATGGGATCGCTCTTGCCGCGTGATCCCAGCGCTGGTGATGGGGTCAGGTGGGTGGTCTAGAGCAGTACGGTGCACGGAGACGTCCATCAGTCAGCACGGCAGCGACGAGGAGGCGCGAGAATACCATCTGCACTGGAAATCATCCCAGCTTGCTTTTGTACCTGCTCCTTTCCCAGCTTGTGCCGAACGTGTCATTCCCCCGCACCTCCAGCTCCCATCCCACCACGCGCCCTCGCTCTCGCCAGCAGCCTCCTTAGGCGTGCCGAAAGCACGCGGGCGAGAAAACGGTCAGTAGTGGCCCAGCAGGGAAAAAACGAAGCACCGCCAAACTCGGCGTTTAGTTCGCGTGGGGCTTTCTCAGTGACAAGCTCCCTGTACAATCACCCTTTAAAGAAAGAAGAGTGACTTCAGCTCGTGCGGCGACCCGGAGAACAGAAGCGGCTATTTGTGGACCACGGCGAGATGCGGCAGGGGCCGGGTGAGCCTCCCGCGGCAGCCGGGCCAGCAGCTTCCTG